GTTTTATTAGTGCTCTGCCACAGTTGAAGTACTAAAAAACCTTTTTCAAGACAATCCCCCCCTCACCCTGCCTTCCCTCAGCACAGGATTTCTGTCTTTCCTGGTATGCAAGAAGTAAAACAAAAAAGATGGTGAAACTGCTGGGCTGTGATGAACAGCGCTGGGATTTCTGTCTGGCTCATGAGCTTTACTTTTTCGCAACTGTCACTTTCAGATTAATAGCTTCGTTGCCAGTGTTTCCAGCCTTTTTTTTTTTCTGTGAACATCTTATTCACTGTGTTCTAGAAAAGTGGCTTCTGTTTGTCTAGTACAAGTCTCTGATAAATGTGTAGCTTGTGCTATCTCATCACATCAAAATCCCATTTTGCTTTTGGAAGGAACAAATAATTTCTTGTTGCCTTTTATTTCATTGCTCTGTGTAGTCTGGGGGTTTCTGGCTTTCTGGTGCAGGGACTCTCCCTTGTCACTTCTGTCCAAGCCACCAGGCTGCTGCACTCTTGGGGGCAGCCAGAGCAGAGACACATGAATTGCTCTCATGAGTTTTGCTTCTGCTGTTCAGAACCCGGCAGGCCACTGTGAAACTTGAAAGAACTACATTAACTTCACTTTTCCTGGCATTGTCAGGAAAGCAAGAATGCTACAGATCCAGGGAAGAGATTGCTTGGGCATGTTTCTGAGGTTATCTTTGCAACTGAAAGGACTCAATGCTTCAAGTGGAAGCTTGGAATTCATTGTCTTGCTAGGGAAATGTGGATGAACTCACTAAGCTAATGGTTCCTACCAGCAGAGTTTTAATCTGCAGGCTTTAGGTTTAGTTTGGGTGTAAAGAAACAATTGCTAATCAGGCTTCAGTGATTGTTGCATCTGGCAAAATGGCAAGTTGTGATGTAAAATTAATTTGTTCTGGGGTCAGGTTAGTCAAAGAGGATTACTGCCTCTTTAAGCTAAAAGTTAGTTTTAATTTTGAGTGAAGGGTAAGAGGACTTTTCATTATGTGTTAGAGCTGTGACATTTTCTCTAGAGGAATGACTCTACTCCAGACCTTTGTGGCCTTTCATAAGTTAATACCACCTGCAGATCTGATCAGTTCTTACTGGCGTCCTGGTTTATTGATAGTTCCTTACATTTTTAAGATGCGTCTAATTCAGCAACTTTTAAAATTTATCAAGTTGAGAGATGTCAAAATCCCAACAATCTCAAAGCCTGGCTGTTCTGCTAGTGCAGGAGCATCTCCTTTGTGCCTCAGTCATCTGCAAATGGCTGTGCCGTGTTTACCTTTGACCTGAGGCAGTACCTGTGACTTACAATAGTAAGGGCTGCCACAAACTGCAAGTGCCAATGGAAAAGAACTAGTGTTAGCAAGGCTGGGAAATGAAGGAACAGAAAAAATTTGAAATAAAGGGGCGGGGGTTAAAGGCCTAGTGAATTTAACTGAGTTGTGACTTTCATCCTGTTAAATCCAATTGGCCTGCACACAGACTATCACTGGGGTACAGTCGCACATAGGATGTGGTCACACATCCTATGGAAGTGTGGAAGCCCATGTGTGAGATCATTGATACGGTTTGAATAAAATGCCCGCGTGTGTTGTAGAAAGCTGATTTACGGTTTCAGCTTCTGGTTTTATTCTCTCCACTCTAAAGAAAATCTCAAGTACCTGAGAAATACCTTTCAGTGGTAAACAAAGTAATGAAACATCCCAGTGTCAGTTTGATTTGATTTTGCAGGCTAGTGCTGCCTAACTCAATTTCTTTATGAATGTCTGGTTGCATGTTGGCATCGAAAGAGAATGTAATTGGCAGGAGGGAGCTGCACAGAAGAGATGGAGTTATCTGGGGATGCCCTCTTGCATCAGGCTGCTGCCAGAAGGCAGGGTCCCTTCGTGTTTGTGGGCAAGGTATTTATCTGTGTCAAACCTTCCCTCTCTCTTTTTCACTTCCATTTTGTGAGATTAGTTTTGTGCTTGTGAAGTCAGAGGAGGAGATTGAGCTGTATCCCCAGCCTCTGCTGCCTTAGGTCGCCTACTAGCAGGGGTTTTCTGTCTGGATGTTGCTGGACTGTGCTGTTCCAGTTGCAGGAGTTTAACGCTTTCATTTCTTGCTCTGTTTAATTTTCAACAAAAGCAAACTCCGTATGGAATAATCATGCAGCAGGCCCCAGATTCACCATTAGTGACCTGTAAAATTGGCAGCACTGGAGATTATTGGCAGGAGACGGTTTCCCCAGGCGCTTCCTGCCTTCTCTTGGAGAGTTAAGTTCAATTAGAGCAATGATACGCACAGCAGGGATTTTGCAAAGAGTCCAGTACTTGATGGTAGCATTGCTGTATGAAAGACGAAGAGATATCTTTGGCCTTTTTGTGACCTTAATGCTCCAGCTGGTGCCCTCTTTCTAACCTCTGCTATCTCCAAACTCTTGCTTTCCTAATGTAACCCTCTTTCACCTCTTCTTTTACCTTCTTACCTTTTACCATATCTCTCAGACATTTTTAGTCTGCAGTTTATGGGGTTTGTTTTCCAAAAAGCAAAGTGGAGATTGTGAATGTGGGGGTTTTTTTCCTCCATTTGATTTTTCTTGTTTCTTTCTGACTTCTCATGTATGGTGGACTGCTCTGAGATCTCTGTAACCATCTTTCTTTTTCTTTTCACACTCTTCTAATTTACTTCTACTTATGAAACTCTTCTGTTTATAGATGTGGTTTCTTTGCATCCAGATTCTTTGACTTCAGGAAATCGCATGAAGTTCAGTGTTGTTTCTTTTCTGCCAAAGCCTCGTGGTGACAGTCGCTTTTATTAGTCCTCAATGTGAAGAACATCATCCTCAAAATAATGATTTCTTTTTTCCCTTTTTTCATTATAACTTTCAACTTGCATTCACTGCCCATGTCTTTAGTACCCGTAAGGGCAACTTGTCCATTAGTGCATCATTGTCTGTGTGGAAATCTTTCTGGTTTACAAGGTGTTGAGAGACTGGCACATGAGCATGTCTGAGGTACTGACCTTGTAGGTGTGTGTACAAGTATTGTTAAAAGCATACCTGGAATAGTCTTTCAGGAGAAGACCATCTCTCTTGATACATTTTTTTGTTTGGATATTTATGACACTTAGACAAAAGTTGGTAAACTATATTTTGTCGGAGAAACAATCACAGTGCTTCTTAGGTGTACTTATATTGGGGGAGCAAAGAACTAACCGTGCGTGTTGTTGCTTATTCTTTAATTAAGTTCTTAGTTAAAGCCCAAAAGCTTTGAGTGGTGCTATAGTTGACAGTCACCACTTGCTTTGTCCAACTTCTGTGTCTTTCCTTCTGTTTCTGAATTATTTGCGGAGTTTTGTGCTTAACCTGCTTGCTGGCTATTGGTATTTGAGAGGAATGTACTCTCAGGGTGGTCAGCCTAATTAATTACTGTTAATCCCCAAAAACCGGCTGCCAGAAGTTTTGTTGTCCTTGAAGCTCTCATTCTGTGCATGCTACTGTAGCTTTAGCATGAGAGCATGAGGAGAGGCTGGATGTTTCCTGGCAAGTTTCCATGGAGAATCCCCTGGGCAGGCCTGAGGTAAAGAGGAAGAGAGGGAGGATGGATACAAACTTAAAATAGCAATGCTAGTTCCTGCATTGAAATTATTAGCACCTTGCTTTTCACCAGAAGTTGTGTTAAAGTGTTTTGTGTAAACTGTGAAATTGTGCCAGTGGCCACATGCCCCGTGTAGGGCAGTACACCTCTCTCTGGTAGGAGCTGGCCTGTTTCACTCGAACGTCCCCACACAAAACCCAAAACATCTCAACAAAATCTTTCTGACAGCGATTGTACATCTCAGTCAGCTTCATGCCCAGATTGTATTTGCTTTGGACAATTTGAGGTTGTTTCGCTGTGTTTTGTCAGGGTCTTCCCCTTGGGCCTCTTTCTCTCAACCTTCCCTTCCCCAAGAGCTGCTGGAGAAAGTGCAGGACTGACTTAGGAGTTCCTCCTCACAAGTCCTAACAGGAGATAGGAACAGACTTAAAAAGTGATTATGGAGGGTGGCTGTTTCCTTTCCTTCTCCTCTTAGTGTTCTGCCAGGAGTTGTTTGTGAACGCACAGGGGCACCAGGGTGGAATTTATATAGGCTTTGTCTAGTTTAATTTATCCTCCACCTCGAGGGAAAGATGCACGCCTGGGGCATGTGTGAGTGCCCTTTCCCCATTCCACATAGGATGTGTTGGAGGGAGAGTAACCGAAAATAAATTAAGAAACAGAAATAGAGGTTTAGGAAGTATCATGAAGTATGTTTATCTTAATCCTCACTGCACTGCTAAAATAGTGACTAGTCTGGGAATTTCATGGAGAAATTCCAGAAGTGTTGGAGGTTCATATATTTCCCGCAGAGCAGAGTGATGGAGCTGCCAATATCACAAAATGTGAAGGCTCAGGGTCCCTTCTGGGTTGAAAAAATAAAGCCTAGAGGATTGATTTCCTATTGGGAGTGTTGAGGTATTGCACAGGCTTACCAGGGTGCTTGAAGTTACACTGACTGCTTTTTAAGTTCATGTTAAGCTATGAGTATAGTTTTGAAAAGGACCAAAATGACACTTTTATGTCTAATGTTTAGGGAAGCATTTCTTCAAGACTAGACGAGGTGGGCGATAGCTTCTGTAGTTTTGTGTTCAGTTTTGTTCAGTTTTCATGAGGGTAAATGTGTTTGCACTGAAAAATTCTTCAGAAAATGACAAAAATTATACACAACTGATATTACAGAGGGTAAGGTAGGATTAGTTTATGCTTATTTTATGGCCTTGATTTTTTTTAATTTTTTTTTCTGCACAATTTGGCATACACAGTTGAAAATAAATTTTAGGTGTATTGGCTTACCTGGAAAAAAGAAAGTTGGCAGAATACTTTAGCTCATTCTTCTCCCATTTCATGCAGGTTCTTGTCTTTGACCGAGTTAACACAGACATTTATTTACTTGCTTTCTATTCCTTTGTAACCCCTACATTCACTTTGTTTTCTTGTCTTGCAGAACGAGCCTCTGACTTCAGGTTATCATGGATATCCAGCAAGAGACAATCAAGTAAGTGTCTGATTGCAGTAAATGTGTGTTTACATACGTCTCTGTACACTTACGAATGTTTTGTTCGACAGCTTCCTGGCTGTCGTGTTATGGAGCGGAAATAGTTCTGTTCTGTTGTGGAATGTTTCTGGAGACATATGTGATAAATTGAATGGGTTTCTTTGGCCTCCAACAGTATGTGGCAAGGTGCCTGATAAGTGGTTAAATATCATTCACATTACCAACAGTTCAGGAAATTCTTTATCCTTAAAAACGTCAAAACTTAGAATCTCTGTCCTAAGCTCTCATTTTATCTCCTAAGTGTTAATGAATGTAGATGTTCAGTGCCAGTGCATGCTTGGCCCTGTTTTATACTTATTGCTGTAATTCTGGCATCTGGGAAGCAAAACAACACTGAGTTTTTGTAAGGATCTGCTTTGCTGGTAGAGTAGGGAATGACATGTCCTGTTGGGTTGTTTCTAGTATCTGTAAACTTGTCTTGCCTTCCTTTCAAGTCCTGCAGGCCCCTGCCCCTTGCTCTTATTCAGAATGTTCTCCTTCTACAGCAGTAAAAATGACACTGTTCAGTGCACTGCATCTGTAAGCATTCTCTTGGCTCCTGACAGAAGACAGAGAAATCCCAGTTGATGAATTTGCGCGACGGAAGGAGGAGATGCTTTGGAACAAATGAAATTTAATGGTTGTGAGATACAACTGTCACACATTAAATCTTCCCTTCTTAGAATGAAGTTTTTTCCAGTGCTCTGCAGCGCTACTGCAAAGCAGAGTATGAACCAGTGTAGCAGGAAATTAATATGCACGGAAAATCAATAATGCAGCACATTTCAGTAATGAGCAAATAACAAAACCAAAATCAAATTCTTTAATGCTCTCAGGTACTGCTATATAAAGAAAGTGATTTTCATCATCCCTTGATGAGGTCTGGGTATATGTAACAACAGCTTAATGGGAGATGTTTTTATGAAGGAAGTGCAGCATAGTGCAGCCTCAGCAACTGAAGAGCTCCAACCTTTGGTGCCTGGTACGTGTGCGTGAGTTCTCATATAGGAGGAAATTGTTCAGAATGTCTGCTGGGATATATTAAACTGCTAACTAGCACAAATAAGTACTACGCACAGGGATGCTGGGAGAGTTGTGTTCCTACTCTATCCAGGCTAAGTAAGGTAAACTAGATTGAGAGGCAGAGCCAGTCTCAGATCCTTAAAGTGGTTCCTATTTGCTTTTGGCTTTCCCAGTCTGGTGGCACCCTCTGCACCCTGTTTTGTGCTTCATTTTACCTACCCATTTAGGCATGTTCTATTTTGGTATGTACCAGTATGTCCCACTTCACAGATTTCCTCTTTCTCGTCCTGTAAGAACTCTTCTGATTTGAAAGTCCAGAACTGCTGTTACTGGCAGGTCACCAGATCAGCAGAGATGGGCACAGAAAGCTGTACAACAGCCAGGGCGTGAAATGAGAATTACAGCCTGGGCAGCCGTGGAGGGCTCTGTACGGGTGAACACAAGGAATAATGAATGTTAGCAAGTATGTGTATTTAAGATGGCAGGTAGCTTTATGGAATTTTCTTGGAGGACAAACAGCTTCAGTTTAACTTGTGTGTTTTCATTTAGCAAATACTTGTAAAAATATTTTTGGCTGGTTTGTTGTTGTTGGGTTTTTTGTTTGTTTTGTTTTTTTCTTCCTACTCTTGACAACATTTTGATCTGTGGTAAGTGTTTGTCCTTCTGTCTTGCTTGTGTCCCTGAAGCAGCTTAAATTCAGATCTGATTTTCACTAATGAGGTTTCAAGGCTTTTAGCTAATCTGATTGGGAGCCTCTAACTTGATAGCAGAAAAAGAAGTCTTCTATTGCCACAGGCTGGGGATGGTGTGGGAGAGTCAGGAATGGCTGATCCATCACCTGCCTTTTTGCACTGGGAAAGGAGGAAGTGGTGTGGGAATATGTGTAGGGATCCTCACCCTGTAACAGAGCAGTTATGAGATGCAGGAGCAGTTGTGTTGGATTTGAGCTGGTGAGGGTAAGTCAGTGTGTCTTGCTGTTTCCCGTTGCAGTTCTTTATTGTAAATACTTGGACTGTGCTTTTTTCCAGAGTGTTTTCTTAAGGAGAAGTAGCAAAGCAGAGCTTATTTTTAGGGCTTTTCATCCGGTGACCACAGTAGTCCTGCCAGAAATTCTGTGGATGTAACTTGCCCTTTCTTTCACTTTATGTAGCATCCTACTCCTTCCCTTGTTTGAATGTCCTTTTCGTTCCTTCAGGCTCTAAATGCCGTTAATTGCTGTCTGCAAACCTTTCACTATGCTGTTTTTACACCCCCTAGTGGTTAAATAATACCCAGATGGTTCCAGATTACTGTGGATTTTCTTCCTGCCAATGGAAATGTGTGATTGGTTTGAGTCCTTGCTTTGGCCATTTGGGAATGCTTAGCTCTCCAGTACGGAGTTTTTTTGTATCTTCTCCTAAGTATTTAAGCTTTCTCTTGTCATCATGCATGGGCAGCAGCACTGAAGCGTATGAGATGGGGTTCATATTGAGGCTGTTTCTCTCATAATTCTGGTGTTATGTGATTGCTTTATGATAACCCCAAAGCTTTGGGTTGTTGCACAGCCTTCTTGTTCCTCACCTGCCCTGCCAAAGCACTGGCTTACTGGACTTTTGTGGTGATGGGCCCTGGGGAGCATGTGTGCTAAATCATTATTGTGTAAGTTTGCCTAAAAAGAGGCTTTCTGTTGCTGAAGTGTTGCATTACTGGATCTGTCTTGCAGCCATGTCAGGATCTGGAGAGCCCTCTGGGACTGTTCTCAAGAATTCAAGGTTTGCCCTGGGGATGTCTAATGCATGTTCAGGAATGGGAGATGCCCTTCCTTCTCCCCAGAACTAGGCTGATGGTAGGGACAAAGCCCTCTGTAAAGGGAAAATAAGGGAAGTGCTAGTGTAACATTGCTAACTGAGATGAGAACCAAGTCTTTTGGTGAGGAGAGCTTATTCTCTGGGGACTATTCAGTTCTTCATCTCTCTGTTGGTTCTGCCAGCAAAGTGGTATTTCTTTTTTTGTAATGTGAGTGCCTGCCTAAAATGCAGTGAACCAAGACTTCCTTGCTTCATTTCCCAGGCTGTGACAAACAGCTCTGAGGTACCGTGAGTTGGTCTCAGTACGGAAAATGACTGGTACAGCTATCCTGATATACTTTTACATACAGACAAACTCATCAAGTGTACATCCGCTGCTTCCAAAAAGCTATTCCACGCTGACTGTGCCAGCTCATTTTGTGTATAGCCAAGACCTATGTTGTATTGCTCTAGTGCTTTTTATGTCCAACTGTATTAGACATGATATCTGAGATTTGTTAGAGTGATGAATACTGGCACTTATGTGGCAGAATTTGGCAGCTGCACAGAATAATTTTGTTCCCCAACAGGAAGCAAAAATGAGCAAGAACACCTTGTTTAGCTGCCACAGAAGGGAAGAGAGGAGGAGAGAGAGTTTATGGAAGCAGGAGGTAATTGCATACATTAGAACTGGGTCAGGATGTTAGAGCTATTATACCTCTTCTGTTATGGAAAGTGATCCTCAGCTATCACAACCGGTTAGGATATTGGTTTGAAGCCTCTTTTAAAAGCTTGTACTTCTGAGTACAATTCTTAAATCAAACTGGGCCATTGGCTTGGTGCTAATGTGGTGGAAACATCGTTACCTATCACAAGTGACACTTCCTTCAACAGCTTAATTTCAGTGACTGGTTTTCCATCTGAGCACTCACCAAGTCTGACCTGTTGTTCTCCTGTGTGTAGATGAGACTGCAGCCCAAAGTAGTGTGGGTGCCCATGGCAACTGCTAGGAACAGCTTTATCAGTATCCCCTCGGTTTGAGTTCAAGCTTAAGGTGAAATGCTGTTAAATCCTCTCCAATTGTCAGGCTGTTCCCCTGGGTCTTTACTCACTTGCTGCTTTGGGATATCTGTTGGGGCATCACAGGCTGCAGGAGGATGCATGTGCTCGCTTCCCTGGGGCTGCAAGCTGGTCTGGGGGAGCTGAACTGCAGTGGTGGCAGTCTGTGAGAACAGGAAGCCTCTCCTGTTGCTTTTTTCCCCCTGTTTGTTTTCTTTGCCCAGTCCCTCCAGATGCGGGGAGTTTGGCAAGGAAGCCCTTCATCCTGAGATGTGACGGGGGTGTGTGAGCTCCCATAGGGAGGCAGGACAGCAGGTCACCAGGCTTCCGTTGGAGCTGGATGCACAGAGGCACTGCTGCTCCCATTGGTGGTCTCTGCAGCAAGCAGCAGGGATCTCAGCACAGAGTTCAGAGCAGGAAGCCTCTGTCCTTGCTCATCTGTGGAGTCTGAGACCCCTTCACCTATCTTCTTTTCTCTGTCCTGTGGATGAAGTGTGAATTGGGATATTGTCACAACTTGATTAGCAACTGAGAGGTTCAGCATGGATTAGGATACCCACAAAAAATTCTCTTGGTTTCGTATTGCCAGACTGATATGCTCTTACCATGAAGCAAGACATGCTCCCTCCAGGAGGGACCCAGAGGAAAATGGTTTGGGCACTTGTTGTTTTTACTTGTACCATGATAGCACCAGCCATGGTCCCTCCTATTTGTGGAACAAAGACTTCCTGTCTCAAGAGTTTAAATCTAAGTAGTGTTCCTGACAAGTGTTTTGGTCTTTAATTTGTTTTCCTGCTTGTCACTATGAAAATCCCTCTAGAATGTATGTTAACTGGCTCGTTAGCCCCTGAGATGGTGGCAGTGGAAGTGTTAAGTTATTCAGGACCTATAAAGGAGGGTGATTTGTGGATTTTTGGGATGTTTGTTACTTATACTCTTAGTTCGAAGAGTGTATTTGACAAAAATTTTTAAACTGGGGGACAGACAGAGGTTCTAGAGAGGCTTAAATAAAATTTTGACACCTTACTCCTCGAGTAAATAGCCAGGACAGAGATCGGGAAGCGTGTGAGGTCCTCTGTAAAATGAGGAAGACCAGGCTTGGTGTTCCTAGTG